GAGTATAACAAGTAAAAAACTTAAACAGGTTTCACTCAAGTGAGAGGTACGTTAATAATGACAGAATTTTTATTTTTGGGTAAACTATCCCTTTAAGCCAAACATGTACAATCCTGCTGAAATTATTACTAAATTTAGATGGATCTGGGAGGAAAAACTCATACGAAAAGGAAACTATCAGCTGTTGCAATCTCCCTCAGTGTGTAATTCACAGGCCTGTGTGTGATTTCTTCAGCATTTGTATCAGTTTCAAATGATTCAACCAAATCAGTTCTACAAACCTGTGAAATATATGAACACCGCCGTACTTCATTATAACATGAACGTATTAATTAATTAGAAGATACTTTAAAAAATGTTAGAAACAGGTAACCACAGACTTCCCTAATAGGACAAACAAATACAATGGAAGTCAATGGTTACAGATTTTCAGCTTTTTTCAAAATATTTTCTTCTGAGTTTACCAAAAGTAAGAAACTCACACAGGTTTCAGACAAGTGAGGGGTACTTAAATAATGACAGAATTTTCCTTTGTCGGTGAACTATCCATTTAAGCCAAAAATGTACAATCCTGCTGAAATTATTACTAAATTTTGATTTTTTTTTAAAAGGAAAAACACTTTCGAAAAGGAAATTAGCCGTCGCAATCTCCCTCAAAGTGCGATTCACAGGCCTGTGTGTGATTTCTTCAGCATTTGTATCAGTTTCAAATGATTCAACCAAATCAGTTCAAACTACAAACCTGTGAAATAAATGAACACCGCCGTTCTTCGTTATAATGTGAACATATTTCTTAATAAAAGTGTTAAATACTTTTATTATTTTCAATATCATCTGTATATTAAACATGAAATAAGAATTTGACGCGAATATGAGTCTGACGAGACCTAATTGCCAGCTATCCCGGTGACAACCGCAGTTACATGTAGTTAAGCAATGTTTGCATTAACTGGCATGTTGATTCCCAAGATAACGTTACGGTTTTATATCTCTTTAAAACCGACTGACTCCCATTATATATCGTTACAGAAGTGCTTCAGTGAGAGATAAGCAGATTGTGTCGTGTTTTTTCTCGTTCTGATTAATGGAAAGCGAACTTTATAACTCGAACAGACAGAAACAAAGTTTGCATGCAGTGAAACTCACCGCTGAGCCCCAGTAACCGGCAGAGATCCAAACTGAACTTCATTAGTCCAACCATCCAGCATTATTACCCGCAATAGCGACACAGGAAAAGAAACACGACAGTAGGCGCGTTAAAAAGGCAGATGAATCGTCATTTTTTATAACTTGTGGCGATAGATGTGTGCTGTTTCTCTTCCTGGGCGTCGAGCGAGGCGTCAGGCGGGTGTGTTGAACTGGACTCAAGCGCCTCCCAGATCGAGCGTCTTAAAGGGCCGCAGGAGCCATACTGTCCTGGAGCAACACTTTCTATCAGAGAAAACTGCTCTCCCTGACTACTGAAAAGCACATTCTTTTCCAGGCAAGTACTATATTATGAAATGTACAGCCATACGAATATTAATGTATATGATATAATATTTTTATTATGTTATATTACTCTTTTATTTAGCTTGTAATGAACCGCCTATATTATATTGTATTATAAAAAACTTAATAAATTAAGTATACATGCATGAAATGTACATCTATACATATTCTTATGTATATTATATTCAATATTTTAGTTCAATCAAACGAGTTACAATTATTAAAATATATAAACACCTTTATGAAAGAAAACTGCTCTCAAGTTTATATTTCCTGACTACTGGAAAAAAAAATTAGGCAAGCAATATATTGTGAAATATGCAGCCATACCTATATTAATATATATTACATTATGATATTTTATATTACTCAATTAAATGTTACATTTGTCACAATGTTACAACTATTAAAAGTAATGAAACTTGTTTTTTCTATAATGGTTAGATATTTTTGTTTGCATGTTTTTTTATTTTATACATTTATTGTTGTTTTAAAATGTCCTATTTTTATTAATAGTATATTTATATTTATGCATTTATTCATGATCTTTTTGACAAGAGGGATAATACAACAGAAATCCACATAATATGATATGATAAGTTGTACATTTTATTAATAATTATACACACACACACACACACACCTCTATATATATATATATATATATATATATATATATATATATATATATATATATATATATATATATATATATATATACACACACACACACACACACACACACATACATACATACATATTGTATAACGATGGTTTGCTCTGTAGACTATCAAAAAACAATTGCTTAAAGGGGCTAATAATTTTTACCTTTAAAATGGTACATAAAAAATTTAAAACTGCTTTTATTCTAGCCGAAATAAAACAAAGAAGACTTTCTCCAGAAGAAAAAATATGATCAGAAATACTGTGAAAATGTCCTTGCTCTGTTAAACATAAATTGGGAAATATTTAAAGAAAAAAAAACAAATTCAAAGGGGGGCTAATAGTTCTGACTTCAACTGTATATATATTCCCTTTTTTTGATCATTTACATTATTTTTGATTTCATTATTTATTCTCATTTATTTAGTTACAATTGTTTTAGTATTAGTTTAACTAAATAAAAATAAGAATGTTCTTTCTATTTATCTATTTTATTTATTTTATAAAAAAAAATTTCTTTCAGCAGTTTTTTATTTCAAGTCACAAAATTGTAGTTAAACTTTAGTTTTAAATAACTATAATAGTCCTGAGTAAGTTAATCAAGTACGCCTGTATTTTTCCTGGAAACAGAATGTATAGCGCTTTGTGCTCTGTTGTGTATTTTGCATACTGTACTGTATGGTAGTAAGTCATCCAAATCTTGAAACACATGAAAAAAAAAAAACACATGTTGTAAAAAGCTACTTTCACACTGCAGAAATTTCAGAAAGTGTACAAACATTATCATGTTATAATTAATATACCCCTAAATCTTGCATCTGATTTATTAAATACATTCAGAAATTACATTACAGAAATCCTTTTGGATTCTTTGTGTAAATGAAGCCTGTAATTTTGCTCTACTGAGGTCACACTGAACTCTAAAAAATAAAGAAGGCTATAAATTATTTAAATAAATTAAATCTCATAGTTTCATGGCACCAGATAGGAGGGTTATTTATTATCAAAATTAATTAAAAAAAATAAAAAACATTTCACAGCTTTTTGGCAGAACATTCAGTATTATGGTTGTTCATGCTCCATTGAAACACACGCACAAACATACATCCAGATTCAGCTATATTAATCAAAACTGACTTCATTTTATTTACTTAAAAATTCACAAAAACCCATTTTAGGGTAACATTGTTGGGAGTGTTCCAAAGTCAATCACATACAACACTTAAAGGGTTAGTTCACTCAAAATTGAATTCTGTCATCATTTACTCAACCTCAGTTTTGTTGATGTTGTTGTTCTGAAAAGAAGATAATTTTGAAGAATGTGAAAAACCGGTAACCACTGACTTTCTATTTGTTTTTCCTACTATGGAAATCAATAGTTACTTGTTTCTAACATTTGAGGTAAGAGATTTCTGAAATTTTTAAAAATAGATAAATATACAAGAATGATAAATAGACAAAAAGAAAATGGCTATTTTTTCATATACTCATAATAAACGAAACAGAGATGTAGTGTCACAAAATACATTGTTTAGGGTTAAACATTTTCATAATTTATACAAGCAAAATATTACATGCCATTGAGAGGATGCAGAAACATGAATAACAGCATCAGGAAAAAGTTGCAATCTTGAAAGTACAATGTTTACGTTCTTATTTTATTATACAATATTTTGGATTATTAAGTGGCCCTGTAATCGTTAGTTTTTTATATTTTACTAATATTCATTTTATAATTCTACATTTTTAATCAAACATTTGCCCTCAAGTTCTAAATAAAGTGGCAAACAAGATCGCATATGAATGAGTACATTTCAGAGTATATACTTTAACTCTATGTGCTCAATACTGTATATATATATTCATTCACTTTTATTTTCGGCTTAGTCCCTTTATTAATCTGGGATCGCCACAGCAGAATGAACCGTTAACTTATCCAGCATATGTTTTAGCCAGCAGAAGCCCTTCCAGCTGTAACCCATCACTGGGAAACACCCATACACTCTTATTCACACTCATACACTACGGACAATTTAGCTAAACCAATTCACCTATCCCACATGTTTTTGGACTGTGGAGGAAACCGGAGCACCCGGAGGAAAACCACGCGAACACAGGAAGAACATGTGAACTCCACACAGAAATGCCAACTGATCCAGCCGAGGCTCGAATCAGCGACCTTCTTGCTGTGAGTGCAAGTAGAGTAAAAGTATCTGTTGTAAATATTACTCAAAGTAGGAGTAAAAAGTAGACCTTTTAAAAGTACTTAGGAGTGGTGACTATTACGCTGAAGTTGAAATGTTTACATGTAACTTGTGCGTGTGTGTGTAAACGTAGTATTCTGTAGTACATTTAGTGATTGTCAAAGGTCATTTTGATCATCACACAGTAAACACCCGTCATCTTCTCATCAGTGACATTGCATTTAAACAGTCTTTGGATCAATGCATGTAAAGTATCCTCTTGGACACTTTTTAATGCTTCCAAATGGTTTTGCTGCATGTTTAAGGTAGTTCAGTGTGGTGCGATTTACTTTCTATGAGCGATTTGAATGGACAAGAATCACAGGGCTGATTTTTCTAATCCCCATAGACAGGAAATAATAAAGTATTGACTGCAGGTTGAAGGAAAGTAAGGGTATAAAAGTGTCGATATAGCACTAAAAATGTACTACAGTATGTGAAAGTAAAAGTACTCACTGGCACTTCTCGTAAAGAGTAACCCCTGGTGTCAGGGCCAAATTCCCTCCATCGGCCCTTACGATCATGGCCTTCCAATCATCCCCATACACCGAATTGGCTGTATCACTGTCTCTCCACTCCACCAAAAGCTGGTGTGTGGTGAGCGCACTGGCGCTGTTGTCCTGTGGCTGCCATCGCATCATCCAAGTGGATGTTGCACACTTGTTGTGGTGTGGAGAGACCCTCTCTCATGATTGTGAAGCACTTTAGGTGTATGGCCATACACAATAAATGCGCTATATAAATCCACATTACTTACTTACACTTTTAAAACTACTTAGTAAATTACAATTTCTGAGAAAAATTACTCAAGTCATAGAAGAATGTGAGAAGACTTATATCGTGATATAAGATTTTTTTTCATATCGCACAGCCCTCCTTCCAAATATCTTCCTCTTTGTTCGACAGAAACAAAAAAAACTCATACTGGTTAGAAGCAAGTCGAGGCAGATTAAATGATGACAGAAGTTTCATTTTTGCGTGAAATGTCTCTCCTCATCTCTTTTCCAATTAAAAATACTCAATCGGCAAGTAAAATTTTCCTTATGGAAATCCAGGATTACAGTCTCTTGAAATCTGCCAAAACTCTGAGAGCTGAACTCCAGCCGGCTGCACCCATAACACCTCCACCTGAAAGACAAAAAACTCAGATAAATGCTGGAAAACATGATCTGTTTCGTGAATAATGTTCTTACACCTTTTCCAAAATCAAATTCAAGCACTTTCCAAGCACTTTCCTGCTGCACTTCCACATTTTAATCCAAAAGCTTGTCACTTTTCAAACACTAGGGTAAAATTCAAGGATTTCCAGCACCCTGTATGAAACGTGAGATCACACTGATAACATTTCTAAACTCAATACGTGCTGTTTTCACTGATATTTACTCAGGCACACACCTGGATGGCTGCCACTGCCACATAAGTACAATCCTTTGACGGGCGAGCGATAGTCTGCGATAGAGGGCAAAGGCCTCGCCAGGTAAAGCTGATCCAACGACATTGAGCCATGGAAAATATTCTGTGGCATACAAAATCAGGACATTCAAATGTTAGATTTCAATAACGTGATATATAAGATGTTTGGAGCAGTGCTGTCAATCCATTCAAAGAAAAATTTCATTAATCACACATTTTTTTCTGAAATCCCACCAAACATGAAAGTTTTTGATCATATTCAATCTTCGAATAAATGCAGAAACATTTATTTATTTACAAATATATGTAATATGCACATCAACTACAATTTAAGTCTATAACTCAACTCAACTCACTTTATTTCTATAGCACTTTCACAAATCACAATGGATTACCAAAGTGCTGTACATAAAATCAAATAAAAAAGCATGTAAAATATACATAAAACCAAAATACATAAACTCATATCACATGATTAAAAGCTAAAGAAAATAAGTGTGTTTTCAGTGACCTCTGAAACGACTCAAAAGTTTGAGCTGTTCTTACAAAGAGTGGGAGATCGTTCCAGAGTCTTGGAGCTGCTACTGAGAAAGCTCTATCCCCTCGACATTTTAAGCGTGATCTAGGAACTTGCAAATAGAGACGATCCATAGAGCGAAGAGATCTCACAGGTTGGTGCATAATACATTAAACCTTCATGTATTATAATTCATTATAATTTAATTATAATTATATTATAATTAAAGCTGCAGGCAGCAATGAACAGGACCTCACACGCGGACTCACCACTTCCCGGTGGTCTTAGGATAAAAAACAGGACAATAATAATTGAATCTGATATTTAGAAAAATCACAGATTTATGCCAAACTTCATTCTGTCATCAGGTGGTGTTATGACTGTGACTCAATATTGGCATGTACAGTAGATGCCTTCAGAAGAAGAATCTTATTGATCCTGTGAATTTTCAGGCAGATCTGACATTGTGTGGCTGAGTTATAAGTACTTTCTCCATGTCGAAGCACTGATTTTTGTCAGTCCTCCACTGACACGTCCTTCGACAAAAACTCTAGATCACAGGTGTCAAACTCAGTTCCAAAAGGGCCGCAGCTCTGCACAGTTTAGTTCCAACCCTAATTAAACACACCTGATCAAACTAATTGAGTCCTTCAGGCTTGTTTGAAACCTACAGGTAAGTGTGTTGGAGCAGGGTTGGAACTAAACTGTGCAGGGCTTTGGCCCTCCAGGAATTGAGTTTGACACCCCTGCTCTAGATCTTCACAATTTACCATCACAAGGGTCTTTGAATTAAACTGACAAAACTTGGATTCAATCTGATAACATTTCTAGGAGGAGTTTTACACTGTAAAGCCTGCCATTTTCTGTTGCCAGCAGGTAGCGCTATAACTGTATCTGGATATTGGCATTTAAACATGTTTAGGTCAGGACTGTTATCAAATGTGAGGATTTTGAGGCAGATTAGACAATGCATTCCTGAGTCATAACAACTTCCTGTTTCACAGCAAAACCTCAAAGTTTGTGAGGCCACCACGAACACGCCCTTCAACGAAAATTCTAGATCTTCGCAATTTAACATCGCCAAGGCCTTTAGATGACTAAAGGCAATTTTGGTGTTGATCCGATTAAATCCCTAGAAGGAGTTCGTTAAAATACAAACGCCTGCAAATGTCAAAAACAGCACTTTTTCGGCAGAGGAAGTAAAAAATATCAGACTTCCTGTTGGGTTTGAAATTTCGCTTCAATAGACTTTTTTGTAGGTATTGGCATGTTTGGTGTATGTGTCATTTTTCGGACATGTGCGTGAAATGTAACTCGGGGCGCGGTCGAGCCATTTTGCCATACCTACTTTCGAAGTCTAGAACAAACGTAAATTTTGCTTTTGTGCAAGTTTTGCGCATGTGAAAAGTTTGGTGAGTTTTCAAGCATGTTTAGAACCTCAAAAATGCGATTCGTTATAGAGAAGAAGAAGAAGAAGAAGAAGAAGAAGAAGAAGAAGAACTGCAATATGCATATTATGTACAATTTAAGTTTATAATTATATTGAAGCTTTAAACAAATGTAGTAACAACATAAAAATCATAAAAAAATATACTAAAATATTTGTTTTACTTGTTACTGTCACCGCCTCACATGTGGGATGTTTTTCAGTGCTTATTTATATACAAATATAGTTAATAAATATATAGTTCATAAACATATTCAAACTTAAAATAAACATGGAAATGACAAAATAACCACACACACACACACACTCACACACACACACACACACACACACACACACACACACACACACACACACACACACTCACACACACACACACACACACACACACACACACACACACACACTCTCACACACACACACACACACACACACACACACACACACACACACACACACACACACACACACACACACACACACACACACACACACACACACACACACACACACACACACACACACACATATATATATATATATATATATATATATATACATACATATATACATATATACATATACATACATATGAGCAATTTCACACGAGTTGCAGTGCGATATGGCATGTATAATGTCTTATAACTACTCTTGACAAACTATTTGTAATACGCATATGATCTTTAATTTACAATCTTGAACTTGAAATGTTAAAGAGTTATTGGCATGTTTTTTTTTTCAGAAATATATGTACAACAGCTGGAACTCTTTCAAATGGCTGATGAGTGCACTTTAGGTGACATTACTTCTGAGAGTGCTGATAGCCGTTCTACTGATGTCTCTAGGAAATTGTTTACCTTTTTTCTAATGTTTAACCACTGACTGTAGCTGTTCAACATTATAATTCATACTATGGGGCTATACTATGGGGTAGTTATTTTCAGTTAAACGCACAGCTCAAGTATTATACATGCAATATAGTTCCATAACATTACACTGATTAGGATCAGTTATTTCACAGCCGACAAAAGTCAATAAATGTAATGAAAACAAAACAAAGTTTGCATGAGTGAGAAACTTGCAGTTTGAGGACAAAAACCTGACAAACATCTTGAAATACAATATTTTAAGTAGGTTGAGCTGTAGAACAGATGCAATAACTGACTTAGGTTTGTTAAGTCTAAATAAGATATGTCTAAATCATAAAAAAATGTTAAATTGCAACTTAAAAGTGATAACAATTTTACTGTTTATTTTCTTATATGGCAGGATTGGGCTTCCATTGGCTTAAAGTGTGTGTCGTTAAAAGGTTTCTTTTTTCTTGTTGTCATAAAGACATCCTGCATTTAACTAAACACAATTCTTGTCAAGAAAGATGAAAAAGAAACAGCAGTTGGATACCCAAGCCTAGTTCATTTTCTAATTTTGACCATGTATTTAGACACAAAACAGTCGAGTAGGCTTGACAAACCACCTGTAGAAACGCTGCTCTAAGCACTAACAGTTCCTTTGAATAATTAGCACTTCTTGTGTGTATTGCCTCTTATTGTTGAATCACTGAATGCCTCCTGACTTGTAAGTCGCTTTGGACAAAAGCATCTGCTAAATGACGAACATGTAAAATGAGTCCATGTTTATGAAATGTAATGTTCATACCCCTCCGGTGAGACCAAAGACCCTCTCCAGATCAGCAGGGGTCAGGATGTCTTTGCCTACTATTGAGGCTTTAAATCCTGGTGCGTAACGCTCAACCCAGTCGAATACTGCCAGACAGAAAACAAAGAAACTATTGCAACACAGATCTTGTTTCTTGCAGGCATGTGATATCACTGTGGAAGCACAAAGGACAGTGTGACTGTCTTTTACAGAAAAAGAAGCTTATTCATGCGGGCATGACAGAGTGTGAATTACTGCATGGTTACAGTGAAGAAAAGATCTGAACCTCCTAATATTGGGGGTGGTCTAAAAAATGCAAAAACTGTTTTTATAAGCTGTTGAAATGTATATAAAACAATATACACCACATATACCCTATCATATGTAATACAAATGTGTGAAACACTGGGTATGTTCATAGAACAGAGAAATTTAGATAATGTTTTTTTTAATGCCTTGTTTAATGTTTCATATATGTAATATAATAATTTGTGTGATGATAAATTGATAATCCAAAACTCACTTACATTGATTGATTTATTCATTCTTTTTTTTTGTCTTTATAAAAGAAATACACTCACCGGCCACTTTATTAGGTACACCTGTCCAACTGCAAACACAAAATTTCTAATCAGCCAATGACATGGCAGCAACTCAATGCAGACATGTATTCATGGTCTAGGCAATCTGCTGCAGTTCAAACCGAGCATCAGAGTGGGGAAGAAAGGTGATTTAAGTTACTTTGAACGTGGCATGGTTGTTGGTGCCAGACAGACTGGTCTGAGTATTACAGAAACTGCTGATCGACTGGGATTTTCACGCACAACCTTCTCTAGGGTTTACAGAGAATGATCTGAAAAAAAAATATCCAGTGAGTGACAGTTCTGTCTTTGTTACAACCAATGTATACAGAAGAGCATCTCTGAAAACACAACACGTCCAACCTTGAAGCACATGGGCTACAGCAGCAGAAGACTACACCGAGTGCCACTCCTGTCGGCTAAGAACAGGAAACTGAGGCTACAATTCACACAGGCCCACCAAAATTGGACAATAGAAGATTGGAGAAATGTTGCCTGGTCGGATGAGTCTCCATTTTTGCTGCGACATTTGGATGGTAGTGTCAGAATTTGGCATCAACAACATGAAAGCATGGAAACATCCTTCTTTGTATCAACGGTTCAAGCTGGTGGCGGTGGTGTAATGGTGTGTGGGGGATATTATCTTGGCACACTTTTGGCCCATTAGTACCAATTAAGCATCATGTCAATGCCACAGCCTACCTGAGTATTGTTGCTGACCATGTCCATTCCTTTATGACCACAGTGTACCATCTTCTGATGGCTACTTCAAGCAGGATAACGCATCAAGTCATAAAGCATGAATCATCTCAGACTGTTTTTTTGAACATGACAATGAGTTCACTGTACTCAAATGGCCTCCACAGTCCCCAGACTCAATCCGATAAAGGGCCTTTAGGAAGTGGCGTAAAAGGAGATTCACATCATGGATGTGCAGCCGACAAATCTGCACATGCAAAACTGCGTTATGCTATCATGTCAATATGGGCCAAAATCTCTGAGGAAAATTTCCAGTAGCTTGTTGACTCTTATGCCATGAAGCCTTAAGGCAGTACTGAAGGCAAAAAGGGGTCCAACCCAGCACTAATAGGGTGTACCTAATAAAGTGGCCAGTGAGTGTGTTTTAGTTTTATTAATAATAAAATTAATTGTGTACCTATTAAAAAACTAATGATAGTATAAGTATAAAATTTTGATAATTTAGGTATAATTTAAAATTTTTATTTATTTTACATATTCATTCTTTTATTAATTTTCTTTTCGACTTAGTCCCTTTATTAATCCGGGGTCGCCACAGCGGAACAAACCGCCAACTTATCCAGCATGTTTTTCACGCAGCGGATGCCCTTCCTGCCGCAACCCATCACTGGGAAACATCCATCCACACTCATACACTACGGACAATTTATTTGGACTTGTGGGGGAAACCGGAGCACCCGGAGGAAACCCACGCAAACGCGGGGAAAACAAGCAACTCTACACAGAAATGCCCACTGACCCAGCCGAGGCTCGAACCAGCGACCTTCTGCTTGAGCCACTGCGTCGTCTTTATTTTAAATATTTATTTATTTATTGTTTGATTTAAAAAAAAATGCTGAAATAGGAGTCTTGTATTATCATTATGATGTTTTGCTATTGTATTTAGATTCATTTAAATTTTGATTCATTTTATTTATTTATTTGTTTGATTATCAAATGATGCTGAAATAGGAGTCTTGTAATATAATTTTATGTTTTTGTGGAAACCATGATACTTTTTTTGAGATCGTTGAACAGAAAAAAACAATGCATTAATGCTAAATAAAAGTATTCATTTTAAGTTTCATTTTAATTTGCAAACAGCACACAAAACTGCAAATAAGATACCTGTGTCCCCAAACCTCTCCTTATCCTCATCAGTCCAAGCACGGCGACCCTCAAGCAAATATGGTGTAAACTGTATAAAAAGTGACACCACGTGACATCCAGGCGGCGCTAGAGTGGGATCCAGCACTGAGGGAATGGTCATTTCTATCATGGGCCTGAAACAAAAACAAAACACACCAGAAGATGAATTGGCTTATCATGTAAATCGCAGTGGTTTGGTACAACGAATGGAAAGCCATTAGCATAAGCACTGGTTGCAAGCAACAGATGTGCTGTCTTTCTGTGACTCAGGTCATGACTTGCAAATTCAGATGTGCTGATGCCTTCATGTGTGTGTAATGTGCAAATATTAGTTGTTCCATTATAAGCCGAGCTGCAGGTTTTGCTAACCTGGAGGATGGCCGACCATGCTGACCCTCCCAATAAGCGTCTTCCAGCACCTCCACGCTCTCACAGTTCAGGTGGATTGAACACTGATGATGAGGACCCGCTTTTCCATCCGCGCCATTCGGAGCAGCCAAGAAATCTGGCAGCTTGTCTACAGCCACTGCTCAATTACAAAACACAGAGAAAGATCATCCATTTATGTGAAGCTGCTTTGACACAATCTACATTGTAAAAGCGCTAAACAAATAAAGCTGAATTGAATTGAATCATACACTGAAAAAAAATGGTTGGATTTACTCAATTTATTTAAGGTAACTGGTTGCAAACTATTTATATGGGCTGAATTCAAACAAACTAATTACATTAAATAATGCTCAACTTAAGTTGTTTGTTTAAATTCAGCCCACTCAGCAAGGAAAATAAGTATTGAACAACGTGTTCAGAGTGCAAAAATCCTGATGGTTCTGTGGGTCTCATCTATAAAATCAGAGCTTCATTTTGTGTTTTTATTGGATTCAAGTAAGGTGATTGGCTGGGCCATTCTACAGCTTGATTTTCTTTCTCTGAAAGCATTTGAAAGTTTCCTTGGCTGTGTTTTGGATCATTGTCTAGCTAAAAAGTCCTCCCTGGTTTCATCTCCATCCTCCTGATTATATAGATCTTGGACTGAAGCAGCTAATGTTAATTTACAAAGACGAAGGGCAGAGGGTTGCTGAATATCTACTGAGAGATTTCAGCTGCTGTCTGGGCTTCTACAGCTCCCTTTCTTCATGTGTTTAATAATTTTTCCCTGCACCATTTAAATTTGTCACACATAACTTCATTTTCAAAATAATTAGTCTTATTTTTTTTGCATATATAGATTTCTTTGGTTGTCAACATCAACATACGTTGAAGATTTCAAGTCAACAGCATGTTTAGAAATATGTGTCCTGAGAAAAATGGGGACGTGTTCAATACCTACTTCCCCTGCTGTATAAATTGTCTGCAACCAGTTTCAGTATGTTGGTGTACTGAAATGGAATATTAAGTAGTGGGCGGGGCTTTCTTTTTTTGTGCACCATTCATTTGTAGCAAACTATTGGTAAGAGGGGTGTGGTTAAGAATAATGAGGTTAAAGCCATCAAACTGACATCATCAGATATGTACCGCCACTTCAAACATGGAATGAAATGAACTTTGATTGAAATTTACCAAAACAATACCAAAAATCAAGCGAATTAACTTAAGGATAAATTGTTCACCTAAAGAATAACAATGTGCGCTAGCCAAATAAACTTAGTAAATTTTAATGTTACACAAACTTTAGTATTTGAGATAATTCTCCCATTTTTTTATTCTGTATTCATTAGATTTGATTAGATTAGTTTAGATTCAACCTTATTGTCATTACACATGTAGAGTATGAGCTAATGAATTGCAGTTCGCTTCTAACCAGAGTGCAAATTTAAGTAAGTGCTGCAAGTGTAAATAAATAGTATGTGCATTTGTTACAATACACAGACAGAGGTAGTATTACGGATATAAATAAAGTTAAACTAGTATGACAAAAGTGGCGACACAGTGGCGCAGTAGGTAGTGCTGTCGCCTCACAGCAAGAAGGTCGCTGGTTTGAGCCTCAGCTGGGTCAACTGGCGTTTCTTTGTGGAGTTTGCATGTTTTCCCTGCGTTCGCGTGGGTTTCCTCCGGGTGCTCCGGTTTCCCCCACAGTCCAAAGACATGCGGTACAGGTGAATTGGGTAGGCTAAATTGTCCGTAGTGTATGAGTGAGAATGAGTGTGTGTGTGGATGTTTCCCAGAAATGGGTAGCGGCTGGAAGGGCATCTGCTGCGTAAAATCTTGCTGGATAAGTTGGCGGTTCATTCCACTGTGGCGACCCCGGATTAATAAAGGGACTAAGCCGACAGGAAAATGAATGAATGAATAGTATGACAAGATATAAGATATTATAAACAGATGTGCGTACTATGGACATATTTAACTATTTAAATTAGTCTATAGATCTATGTACACTTCAGCAGGAAAAACTGTAAATACAATTTACATATGGATATGATTTGACCATATGACTGAAAGTTACATATAACAGTGCAATAGTGCATACTCCAGTAGTTCCAAAAATGTTTGAATTTCTTCCACAATAAAGATGTTTATAAATAATTTTGAAAAGCAAAATTCCATAGTATATTTTGTATCTGTACTATGGATATTTCAAAAGCTTCTGGTTTCCAACAGTTTTCAAAATATCTTGCTTAAAAAAAAAATAGAGGGTGGGTAAATAACGACAGAGATTTCATTTAGGGGTAAACTATCCCTTTAAGGCATTTACATGAGGCAAGACTTTACATTTTGTTTTTGGAAAAATGTTGCAAGAGGAACTAAACATGGAGAAACATGGTAGTGTATTTACATTGAGATTTACATGTATTTATTTAGCATACACTTTTATCCAAAGCAACTTTCAAATGAGACCAAAGAAGCCATCAGTACAACAAAAGAGAAACAATTTGTAAGCAGAATGACAAATTCCAGTTAACATAAATCTGCTTGGTGTTATAATATATAATATAATTATATATAATAATAATAATAATAATAATAATAATAATAATAATAATAATAATAATAGTAATAATAGGGCCAGGCAGTGGCACAGTAGGTAGTGCTGTCGCCTCACAGCAAGAAGGTTGCTGGGTCGTTGGTTCAAACCTCGGCTCAGTTGGCGTTTCTGTGTGGAGTTTCCATGTTCTCCCTTGCAATTTGTTTTGGCTATTCCAAAAAATGTACCCATGCAATAAGACTTTGTGATTCAGAGTCAGATTTGTGTTCATTTAAACATCAGCATATGCCTTTGCCATTTATTAAAATAGGCTATTACATTTATCAATGATTATACTTCATGCATAGTGAGTTATCTTTGTCTTGTTTTGCTTGCTGAGTGTCAAGAAAAATGTCTAAAGGTTGCTGAATTGTTTACACAAAATCAAAGTGTTAAAATATTAACGCTACTTATTTGCTGCGTTGGAAGCATGTTTTTTGCTTAAGCAAATGCATGTTTGGTTTGATGAAATGAAGCGTTAAATGATCGCTTATCTTACCGTTTATCTTGGTAACAGGAGAGGTGTAGTCAATTTGATCTACAGCTGTGATGAAAGCCTCTGGCAGGGCATCCTTTACCAAGACAACCACAGACATCAATTATTCACGATTGTCATTAAAATTTAAGTGAAAGGCTTGTGCATTGTTGCACATTGCTTTTATTATTATTGATTACTATGATTAGTCTTTCCAAATATGATTCAATAATCAAAATAGGCTTTCATAATCCATTATAGAACCATTTTAAATGATGATTTCTTTGCATTGGAGAAATGTACACACACTCAAGAAAATAACTCATTGATTGAACTCAATTTAATTGAGGGCAAGGTTTACATGCAATAAATTTGTTTAGTTAAAAAATAACTAAAAACTAAAAAAAAAAAAATGATTTGCACAATTAAATGAGCTGGTCCCACGTAATTTTCTCAAATAAAAGTTTAAATAAATTTGTATTTTTATTTAACTTAACCTCAAAGGTCTGATAATATCATGTATATCTTTTATATGTCATACATTTCAAAGTCTCTTAGTTTTATTTGAAGTTCTCCTAAATGAACTAAAAGAGACATTTTTTGGCGTATTTTGTGAGTTACATTTACAGTTTTTGAGACTGATCTCAGAACTCATTTTAAGACAGTTACTGCTCAATGAGCAAAGCAAAAAACTGCATTTTTGCTTACTAAGCTACCAACACCCAAAGCATGGGTGCTTCTGCAAGATGGTAATCTAAAAACTCAAAGCATTACTTGAAAACCTTCTAAATCTTCAAACTACAGTGAAGATTAAATTCTAACAAGTCTTTCTATTAACTTTAAACACATAAGATTTAAACACATAAGATTTACTTTTATTGTCAACATTCACCTCTCTTAATTCAATTCAAAGCATGCTGAGAATTACAAATCCTCTGACCAAGTAGTTGGACCAGCACGATTCCTTCATGTTGTCCCAACACAAAACGCTTAAGTTAACCTAATGGTTTACAAATTTAAGTAGACTGAACATAAAACAAATTAACTGGCCAAATAATTTACAAGAATTGTGTTGCTTCAGCTCATTAAACAGGTAGTTTAAACAAACAGCAGTAATCTTTTTTTAGTGCTGTAAAAAATGCCACACAATCGGTTTGTGTTAGGACAACCTGAAAGAATAAAGTTAGCTTGATAGTTTTTACTAATTTAAGTGGATTGAACATAAAACAAATCATATCTGAAAATAGTATGCAGAATTGTGATGTTTCAGCTCGTTTTAAATACGTAGTTTGACCCAACAACAAACATTATTTTTTGAGTGTAAATTAGTGAAATAGTGTTCTTCATTTTTCAAATATTTGACCCTGGACCACAAAACCAGTCTTACTGTGTGTCATACGGCTATATATTGAATTTCTGGAGAGCGCCAAATATGTCCGAGGAGCTATGCTTTTTTCAGTTTTTGTTTTCAGAAATCCACCAGAGGGCATTGTGTACGCTTTTTTGAGATCTCAGTTTTACTTCACGAGTGCCATTCACGTCTGCTCTTCACGCGTAAATCCACCAGAGGTTGCTGTCGACTGACTGATTGACTGATCGATGGACTAACCAACCTTCTTCTATCCCTAAAACCAACCAATAGTGTTTAAAAGCACCGATTGACCTGCCCACACTTCTCTAAACAAAACCATCATTTTTAAAAAATAATCCAGAAAAAAAAGCCATCAACTGATTTTTACCACTTTTTCAGATCTTATAACATTCTCACCCTGTTATTTACTTGTTTATTTTATTTTTTGAATTTTGTTTTTGTTTTTCTGGAACCGTTCTTCACCAGACTCCAACCCCTGTGCTGTGGTCAACTCCTCTTTGTGTCTCAAGTCCACTGATGTACGCGGCAAGGTACTGGACAAACTGGTAATAGCGGGAAAGCCGTCCACACAGAGGTAAGCGATCAGCTGGTTAAGCGAAAAAAGTATCATAACCCCGCAGCATTCGTTTTGAAGATGAAATGCAGCCATTCGTACTTTAGGCTACATAATTTGCGATCTCCAGAAATGCATATAGGGCTACGTTTTCAGAATGAGCCCATGTCTCAACAATACATTGTCCAAATAAATTTGTGTCTTATGCCAAAAATTATTGAATATCTTGAAAATATTATTGAATTTGCTTTGATAAGAATGAAATTTGCACTATTTTAAAGTTGATTTTCTCAATATTTCACTTTATTTATTTTTTTTTGAAGCCTCAGATTCTAGATTTTCAAATAACTGTACCCCAGCCAGGCGACGCAGTGGCGCAGTAGGTAGTGCTGTCGCCTCACAGCAAGAAGGTCGTTGGTTCGAACCTCGGCTCAGTTGGCGTTTCTGTGTGGAGTTTGCATGTTCTCCCTGCGATTGCGTGGGTTTCCTCGGAGTGCTCCAGTTTTCCCCACAGTCCAAAGACATGCGGTACAGGTGAACTGGGTAGGCTAAATTGTCTGTAGTGTATGAGTGTGTGTGTGTGAGGATATTTCCCAGAGATGGGTTGCAGCTGGAAGGGCATCCGCTGCGTAAAAATGTGCTGAAAAGTTGGCGGTTCATTCCGCTGTGGTGACCCCGGATTAATAAAGGGACTAAGCCGACAAGAAAATGAATGACTGAATGAATGAATGTATCCCGGCCAAATATTGTCCTACCTTAAACCACAGATTAACAAAAAGCTTATTTATTCAGCTTCTATGTGATGTGACCTCATTTTTTATATATTGACAATAATAACTGGTTTTGTGATCCAGAGTCTAACAATAATCCTCCTGTGACTGAACCAACACATTCGCATGTAGACAATGTTGTCAGTCAAAGAATAGGTTCACTCCTTGCGTAAACATTGATAAAGTGCCTCTAGCTCAAGGCCACAACAGCAGCTGACAAAAATGGGACGACATTAAATGTGAACAAATGGCCTAGAAGATCAAATCCATATCTGTCAGAATTGACATAAGGACTGTACCTGCGGTGTGAGACGTTTGAAGGTGACATGAGGAGTTGCGTTGGACAAAACCACTTTACTATGGACTTCAGTTCCATCTGTCAACACTACACCCTTAGCAGAACCATCCGGACCAATAAGGACTTGTTCGACATCCTAAGAACATATTTAATATCTATAAGACAATTGTTTGTATTGAATGAACGTGACAGGTTTGGAAACAATGGCTGGAGAAAAATGGTTACACCTTCTTCCTGAATACTAACTGTGTTTGTGAAAATATCTGCTCCAAGAGAGCGGGCGGAGCGGGCGATGGATTGAGGCACTCCACCCATTCCTCCCTCCACGTAACCCCAGGAGCCTTTTTCTTTCTCCAGCTCACCCATGACATGGTGCAGCAGGACATACCTACAAAATGACATTTAATTGAACATAAAATGTTTCATATCATGATCTGAATCAAGTGAAACCAGTGCTGGGGCTTTAGGTTGACATATTGTGATGGTTTATGGTTTTTATACTGTAGATCACAATTTTAGTTGCCAAATTTAATCAATTTAACACTGCATATTTTACTCACTTTTACATGAACTTATTTACAAAGTTCATCAAATTAAGTCAACTTAAGACTTCCAAGTTGCAATGGTGTATTATAGTGTAGCTCGTCCCTCTAAAAAAAAAGAAGCTAAAAATGCTTAATTTATTTCACAGCTCTGCCAGTCAGAGACATTGAGCGAAACTGTATAGACTCATAACATCCACAGTCTATAATAGAATGCTGTCTGTCTGTCTGTCTAACCACTTCTCTATCTCCGTTTTGTGGTCTATGTCAACTAGCACATATGATCTACTTTCATATCTGTGCTAGACCAGAGCGGACCATATAATTGATCATATAAAAACTGCATGCTTTTTAATCCTTATATCTTCTAATTGGATTTTTTGTCTGTTTCAGAGCACAATATATACACTACCTGACTAAAGTACTGTCACTTATCCAAGTTTTAGGAACAACAAATAATAAATTGACTTCATCATCATTTGGTAACAAAAGTGGCTTATATGAAAGGCAATGGCCTCTAGATTACGATTATTTTACTAAAAAATATATAAACTTATTAATAAAGTCATCTGGAATGGCAAAGAAAGCGTTGAAAATTTTTGATGACTCCTAGAGTTCATCAAGATTCTGTGGATTCATATTCAATGCCTCCTCCTTTATCTTACCCCAGACATGCTAAATAATGTTGATGTCTGGTGGCTGGGCTGGCCAATTCTGGAGCACCTTGACCTTCTTTGCTTTTAGGAACTTAGATGTGGAGGCTGAAGCATGAGAAGGAGCGCTATCCTGCTGAAGAATTTGCCCTCTCCTGTGGTTTGTAATGTAATGGGCAGCACAAATGTCTTGATTCCTCAGGCTGTTGATGTTGCCATCCACTCTGCAGATCTCTCACACCTCTATACTGAATGTAACCCCAAACCATGACTTTTCCGTCACCAAACTTGACTGGTTACTGTGAGTATCTTGGATTCCGTGGGTTTCAATAGGTCTTCTGCAATATGTGTGATGATTAGGATCCAGTTCAACAGATGATTTATTTACCTTCTGCCACTTTTCCAAATGATCAACTAAGTCAAGTTGTTATTTGTTGCTTTTACAAACAGGATCGATGACAAGACTTTTGTCAGGTAGTGTAGAGTGAACATTTGTATCAAAACATTTCATCAAAGTATCATCAAACTATTTAACACCCCTCATTCTTGTCTTAAATATTTTTTGATCTACTTCAAATGTTGACTACTTAAGCTACTGACCTTAAAACTAACATGTTAATACTAGCGTAAAAAACTTTTTTTTTATTTTTGAGAGGCTATAAACAAAGACAATAGAATACACAAGACATGTCGCTCGCATCTTTTTGAATTGGGAAAAGCATAATTGTCAAATACAGTGAATAAGACCCCGCCTACTAGTACAGAAGCCAATAATCGATCGCTATATGCTGAAAAAAGCCCGTCATCTAGTACAGGAACCAATTTATCGGCCGTTAAAGACTGATGATACTCAGGCGGAAAAGCTTGGACCAGATGGGAGTTTCTGCAGATTTTGTGTGATTTGGACATTTAGAAATGAAACTAAAGACACAGTTATTTTTTAATTTTATTGGTAATTTACTAGTATGAAATTCAATCGGAAGCTTGGCAAGCAATTTTGGAGAATTTGATTCAATTCAATTCAATTCAGCTTTATTCATATAGCGCTTTTACAATGTAGATTGTGTCAAAGCAGCTTCACATAAATGGACATAGTAACTGGATCAGGGTAGTTCAGTTTTAATTGTTTAAGTTCAGTTCAGTTTAGCTCAGTTCAGTGTGGTTTGAAGTCACTATTGAGAGTCCAAACACTGAAGAGCAAATTCATCGATGAGTATCTCTTGATGTTTCCCCATTCAAACAGAATGACTGAGCATACTGCCCAAAAGGTGTTTCAAAGATGGCCGTCGAGTGAAATGACTTGCCTTAAAGGGTCTTTGCTATAAATAATACAAGTAGTTTATTTATATTTTAAATAGCTAAAATATAAACTGCACTTTGTTCATTTGCATTTACTTTAAGCTGATTTACATTATACTTAGAAAACAAGCACTGAAGTTGACCCTGTTTCAACTAAGAACCAATCACTTTCAAATGTCAACATATCCTCACCCACTTCCTGGATTATTTGGGCTCGTGTTTGCTCCGATCACAGAGTCAGTGGCTAATGTAGCTATCAACGGCTCTGATTCAAACCAACGATTGAGCACCTGTGGAAAAACAAAAACAACTTGAACCTGAAAAACAAAGAAGCTTACTAATGATGTAGCTATTTCAAGAAAAAAAAATCACTCTTGAGCTACAAATTAATGCTCTGATTAGGATTTGTGCAGCCGATACAAAGTACCGATTCCTAGTCATGGTGATCAGCCGATGGCGAGTACCAATTCTGATGCTTCAAGCTTTATAATGCATAAAGCACATTTTTGCCCCTAAATGTGATACCTTAAGTCGAGATCTCCTTACCTAAGAGAATAAATTAAGGATGTTGCATATAATCCTTTAAACATGTCACATATACTCATTTAGTGTGAACAAGTCATGGTCAGAAGCAGCTTTACAGAAAATATTAGATAAACAGATAAAAATATTGGTAAGAAAAACAACTAACAAAGCAATTTGAAAATACAGCAAATGATGGAAGAAGATGTTACATTTAGAAGAAGAACTGAGATTCACACTAAATGACAAATTGTCCGTTTTTAACAAGATTTGGGAACCATTCATATTATTTTTGCAGATAGACTTAACTGATAGACTTTTACAAGACTGTTGTATGTTAATTTATTTATTTATCTTATTTTATTATTTATTTTATAATTATCTTATAATGCCTCTTTGGTTTCATTGTCCATGTACACCTAGCTTCAATTAATTTTTTTTGTCCCAGCCAGATCGATATATGATTGTAAACGTTATTCATATATGCCTTGTACTTTATTTTTTATGAACCTTCCCCAAATATTTTGATCAATGTTAGATGGGTGGGGTGGGTAGTAGGGTTTTGCATTCCTTTTTGTAGTAAGTTAAATTCCCTGTAAGTACTTCCAAAAGAATTTTGATATATGGTATATCTCTTTGTAAGGATTTAGGCAGTACTGTATGTACTGTAGGAAGGTTTTTTTAATAAAATTGAAAATAGTAAAAAAAAAAAAAAAAGATGGAAGTAGAATCCGACATGTCTTAATCAAGAAAAAGTTTGAAGCGCATATTTGATGCATCAGACGTTACAGTTTTTTTACAGACGCATAGGACACATTTCTCAATACTTAGGTCACTTTTGCAAAACTCTTTACACAAATCTCCCAACTGACTTACAGCTTGGCAAAGCAGTTCATTTCACATTCATAACACACTACAACTAGCAAAACACTTTATTCAGGTCTCAAATAAACTCATTCTTCCAGAACACAAGCAAAAGTTGACAGCCGACAAACACACTGACAAAAGAGTGACCTAAAAACACTAACAACATGTAGCATTACTGAGCGTTATAAAACAAGAACACATCTCTGTTTGTAATTGCAATATTTATATTGTTTATAACTGTAATATATGTTAATGGAATGAATCAGATATGATGCAGAATTCCTCAATATTTTATGTTGTTTATTTATTCGACATTTTTTGCACTAAGTAATTTCAAAATACAAGAATTTGTATACAAATCCATCCACTAATACCGATAAAACAGTAATGCTAATCTGGCGGATTAAACTGCATTTTTAGATTTGAAATATGTTTCAGTGAAATATTGCTGTTGAATTTTGTTGTCTTAATCAGTTTTGCATTATGTTATTGTTTTGAACATAAGTTTAACATTTATGAAAACAGTGTTAGCACATGCAAAATGTCCTGTACGTACAAAGATTTTTGGCTGTTTTTGTGTCTGAGTGAGAAAAGAATTCCTGAAATTTAAGAGATGTAGTCATTGAATGCTTTTTGTGCCAAAACAACGATAATTGATCCTGAGTTAAACCCACATAGACTTCTGTTGTGCTCACTGTGTGAAGAGTTTTGCAAAAGTGACCCAAGTATTGAGAAATGTGTCCTAGCGTCTGTAGAAAACTGTAAAATGCACACCTATAAATACATATTTGTTTATTGCAGTAAGTATATTACAAAAATGTATATTATTAAATATTCAAGTTTAAAAATAAATATTTTAACATTTTTGTTTTGTTCAGCCAGGTTTTAGTGAACTGGCAATATTGTCATAAACAAAGAACTTTCAGTTCGTATACATGTAAAAAGGTCTAAATACATGCAAGGCCATTCCAATATTTTCCTCTCCAACTAGCACGTCTGGTTTCTCTGCGTTTAAACTCGTAAACAAACACCAGTGATCGGTTCATGAGATCGGCGAGTACCGATCCAGTCATAAAATGTGATTATCGGCCGATACCGATCTCTGGCCAATCAATCGGAGCATCCCTACTACAAATGATTCATTTCTTAGCCAATGCTCATACAGCTGAAAATAAATTATGCTGAATTGAAGGATTGAGTTATTATTACTATAAAAAGAAAGCCAATATTAATCAATGCAAATTTTGCATAAAATATTAAAAAGATATGCCCTTTTCTATAAATTTCAAGCTTAAATCTGTATACAACATAAAAAAAGATGTCAAGATCTACAGTGGCAGACATGATTAACCCATCTAAAACAGCAGTTCTCAATGTTCAGTTGCGGCCTGTGTTCCTTTTTAATGTATTAGATTGCCATAAAGGTGTCAGAAAGTTTAACCTGGTGCTGTAAAATCAATCTGCTGACGCTATTGCTGTGTTGTTAATCTAACGTAAACACCAATTCTATGGAAAAAAATAATTGAAAGGCTGATGGCTTTTCATTTGCATGTTGTTGTTTTCTGTTGTAACTATTAACTACTATTTTTAACTTCTGTAGGTTGTAGATAAAATATGCTAATTCTAATAGTTCAAAAAAATTTATTTGACTTTTGGAAATCAACAAACAACCCACTGTCATTGTCCCGTGACCCCCACTTTGGAAATGATCTCTGAGTGGCGATCTCAAAATCAAAGCAAAAATAGACTTGTGCTGAAAACATTGTGCCTACAGTACCAGCCTCTATAGGTGAGGTTAATATTAAACTAAACAAATGAATAAATGACTATGAAAAATTATATTGTTGTTACACTGTTTTTTGTGTTGTCATTATGCTTTTGTTTATACGGTAGGCCTATTTTTGTGTGCGCAATGTTTGTATATTTATAACCACATCAGAGGAATGTAGTGGTCGTGATTCACTGGCATTGTTCTTTTGGCGGTCGCGGGCTAGAAGGTTTGGGAACACCTGATCTAAAAGTCCATCTAGATCAGAGATGCCCACACTGGGGCCCACAGGAAAAAGTTGGCCCATAACCTTTGATTTGGCCAACCATGCCATCTGAGAATGGTTTAGAGATTTTCATTTTAAATTTAATGTAACCATATATTTGTTTGTTTTATTGTTAAACTACAAAAAATCTATCTGAAATTAAATGTTTCAAAGCAAATGGTGTAAATTACTCAGATTTAGTTGAAAATGACACACATATGACACATAGAGGACAATGAAGAGACTTTGGTGAGCGAATCAAGGCAAAGGCAGATTCTAAATTGACAAGTCTAGTGTATTCAGCATTGAACTCCAATGCATTATAAATGGGATTCTTTATTTTTTTATTGCAACAAGTTTTAATTTAAAAAGTTATACTGCATTAGTTGATATGATTCATTTATTTATTAATATTATGAAAGGAATTTGAAAATTACACATGGCAACTTTAATGTTAGGCCCACTGCTATCAATGATATTTGGTTTTTGGCCCTTTATTAGGCATGGGCGGGTATAAGATTTCAACGGTATGATAACCTTAGATAAAAATATCATGGTTTCACGGCATTGTGATTACTGCTACCAGTTAAACTCTGCTGTTGTTTTGGGATTTCCGCCTGGATTTTGCCTACCCAATATTAAAAGCTACCCAAATCCACATGCAGAGGTGTAAATACAAAAATTTGGTATTATTTTAAAGAAAACCCTTTGAATTTTCATAAACACTATTAAAAGTGTTTAAAATAACTGTATATGTTGTCTGTGTTATGATAAACACCTAAAAAAAGAGCAGCTTTTTGTATTTTTTTTTATAAACTCAAATTTGAAAGTGTACTTTTTAAGTTCTGTGTGGTCTAGGGGTGCTGTAATTAATTTTGGTGTTTCCTGGAATCATAGGAAAAAAGAAAAATGTCTCTACCATAATCTATGCAAAAGTTATTGTATTCCAACTGATGAGAGGTGCTGTACAAGCCACAGGGATCGATCATTGTTTTCATATTTCACTATTCTTTTGTTTGATCAAACATAATTCACTGTGTTTGGACCACGTCAGACATATAAAAGGATTAGTTATGCACATCACCTCAAAAACAGAGGAGAAATGGCACTGAAGCGCACAGCATAAGGTAAGAGATGACAGTTGTCTGTGCTATCTGGGGCTGCTTAGTGATGATAAATGTATTGTTTTCACTTCTGTGCCATGATGGGAACACCGCGATTCATTCGGCAACTGTTTGATATGTGAATATAATTTAGTAAATAAATGCTAGAACCGCATGAGCACCGCCAAGAGCTTTCATTTGAGCTATAACTTGTACATGTGTCATATGAAAAATATGAAAATGAACCAATGTAAAATACTTAGCTCGGGAATTCAAATTACAGTGTATTTAAGTGTAAATAACTTTTGTACAGTAGAATAAATACCAAAAGGATGCATATGTGCATAAAGTATAGATTCTACACTTTCAAATGAAACCGCTTAAGGGGGTCTGGTGCTATGGATGCTATGCTATCCCATGATGCACTTCAAGAGAATTCATGAATGGGAGTGAAGCGAGTGTGTCATGTGATCATAATAAAATGGCGAATGTAATACGTTGGATACCATTCATATTACTGACATTAATACTGTATAGAGCACAATTTTCTAACGTCGAGTAGTAAATTCAAATGCAGTACCTACTGAGTAGTAGGCGGTTTCGGACACAGCCAATTATTTTGGAACAGTAGACATGTCAGACTAAATAGTTTAAATCAATCATTGACTTCTGCTGTCTTTATTAGTTTCAAAAACACAGATTTTCTCAGACTTTTCTGCTGGAGATACTATTGCCCTAAAAAAAAAAAACACAATCTTACATATATACCATAGGAACGGTTTAGGGAAAAATTTTGGAGGTTTTAAAACCTTGGGCTCTAATTTGACGGTCGATGCGCAAAACGGAAAGCCCAGGGCGCAAACGCATTCAGGGCATGTCAGACTCCATATTTGGTTATTTTAAGGATGGAAAAATCCGCTTTGCGCCGTGGCGCATGGTCTAAAAGGGTTGAGTTTATTTTCTTAATGAGTTATAGGTGTGTTTTGAGAATAAACCAATCATCTCCCATTCCCTTTTATGAGCCAACTGCGTCGCGCCATAAGCACATTTGCTATTTACAGGACATAAAGTAAGTGCAAGTGGAAAAACTGAGCATTTCACTAGCAAACAGTTAACAGTAAACAGTTTTTTTAACAGAAAACGGTTAAACAGAGCATCTACCGCACAAGAATGAGAGATAATCGATCTACTTTCACTTTTGCTCTTGTGGGTAGGGAAACCTTTACGCACAGACATCTATTAGCCTATAAATAATTAATTTCGTTTGTTAAGCGTAAATATTTGTTTCAAAACTATTTCTAAATTCAGTTCTAATTTCCAGCAAACGAATAAATGAACAAAAATAACGAAGTGTGTTCAAAAACAGTGATTTTTCATATTTATGTAGGCTAGAAAATAATGTTTTGTAAAATTTTTATCCTTTATATTTATATCCTATATTTTTTTATTATATCCTATATATATTCTTAATATTATAATTTTTTCATATGTAAAGATATTTGCGTATTGCTCTACTTCTTGTTTGTAGGCTATTAAGCAGTGTGTAAGCGAGGCACAACTCTGCACTGGAGTTTAGACCGGGTTTGTTTTGGTCTAATGAAAAATCTATTATAGTTTCTCCAAATAGCAACGCGCCAGCGGTCCGCCTCAGAACGCCTTCCTTTTTAGACCAGAACGCCTATGGGCGCACATCTGAGCCCAAATGAATTTGCTATTTAAACAATGTGGTGCAAAACAGCAAAACGACACTGGCGTCAAGCTGAAACTAGCAAATAACATTTACATCGCGCCTTGCGCCACATTGCGCCGGGTGTATGATAGGGCCCCTTGACTTTTCTATTATACCTTGAAAACAGTTCATCCATGTCTACCTATCAAGTGGAAAAAGTCCAGACACCCCTGATGTAGATATTCATATTATAATTTAAATATGAGCATTTTTATAACTCCTGATTCATTTCTATTTGTTATTAAAATTATATCTTTAACTACAATGGAAAGAGTCATAAAAAAGATCATTGGGTCACTAATAGTTTAATTTTGTGTGCTTTCATAATTTTACCATGATTAAAACATAATGGATTTGCCTTGATTGGGGACTGGTAATTATTCATCCAGATATATCCACAAATTTAATGCATGTCTCACCTTCATAGCTGGAGCTGTAACAAGTTCATAGAAATCTGGTATATTCTTCCCCAGCTTCAACCCTTTAAAAAAACAAGCACATGGATTTTATTTTAATGCTTCAATTTTATAAGCTCTAGTTTTATAGGACTCTCTGGCTTATTAAAGACACAGAAAAAGAATGGAGGAAAATCTGGTTCATCATCTCTTATATAACCATGAAGCATCATTACCAGACTTCACCAAAGGTTTCAAGCTCCTCAGGGCAGATAATCTCTTTGTCAAAGAGCCCTGAGTCAGACCTGGAATGTCAACGGGTGGAGCGTCTAACAGTGGGTGGATGGCGCAGGCCAGTGTTTCCAAATAGCGTAAAAAATCAGGATACACCTTTTGTAAAGAGAGACAAAAAATAATGTTAATTCCATATTTTTTTATTGTATATAGTTCAAATTATTTTAGAAGTAAAGACTCATGTGCATTAAAAAAGCAAAAGTCTACTTTTAATGTTCTGCAAAAAAATTGGCACCTTTGCTAGTGGTAATCAGTGTTGGGTGCAATTGCTTACAAAGTAACTATGTGCTGTAATTAAATTACTTATCTGCTGAAAAAAGTCATTTAATTAGTTACTTATAATAATCAACAGTTCTGTATAAATCAATTCAAAGAAGCAAAGTAACTTTAAAATTAAATATATAAATATATTTTGCAGGTTCTTTTTTTCTATCAGACGATGCTTGAGGAAAAAAAATTTAAGTGAGAAATTATTCATTCATTTTCCTTCGACGTAGTCCCTTATTTATCAGGGGTCGCCACAGCGAAATGATCCGCCAACTATTCTGGCATACGTTTTACACAGCAAATGCCCCTCCAGCCACAACCTAGTACTGGGAAACACCCATACTCTAATATTCACACACACACACACTTATACACTATGCCAGCTTATTCAATTCACCTACAGCGCATGTCTTTGGACTGTGGGGGAAACCGGAGCACCCAGAGGAAACCCATGTGAACACGGGGAGAACATGCTTGAGTGAGAAATTAGTTCACAACAAAATATGCTATAAATTCAAAGATAAGGAGTCATTTTATGTATGCATATCTGATATTCAGATATTTTGCATAAAAAAGATCTTTTAGCTTAAGATAGTCACACTTGTCATGCAATTGCACACGTCAGAGACAAAGAATTGAGCTTTAAATAATGCCAATATAGGGTAGGACTGCACAATATATCATGTCAGCATTGATATTGCAAAGTGCAAATCTGCAATAGTCACATCGCAGGATGTCAAGCAATTTCAAGTCAAATTAAACCATTTGGACACAATATAATATAAAGTTTGCCACTTTGTTTATTTATACAATGAAGAATAGTGTTATTTTATATTTGAGTATTGAATTATTAGAATACCATAAAGCTCTGTTTACATCTTTTTTATCTTTGTTCTCATCTGTGCTTTAATTTATTTTATATGTATAATTTTATCATTTTGTACATTTTATGCAGACGTACTACAGTAAAAAATCACCCCAACCAATGTAAAACTATGAATTCTTTCCAAATAGAGTAATCCTGTGAAATTATATTCATAACGCATTACATTGCAGAAAAAAAAATATTGCAAAGTCAGTTTTCTCCAATATCGTGAAGCGCTAATATAGAGTATGTAATATGGAATATGTTGTCATTGCTTTGAAACATTTTTTGATTTAATACAAAGTTTAACTTTTTTATATTATTTATTGTTTTGAATGAGGCTAAAAGGCTGTTTGACTCTAAAGAGTTAAATTTTTATTGTCTATGATTTTAAGTACAATTGGAATTATGCATTCAACAATTACATTATTTTTTGACAATTTTAATGTGAATATTAATTAGTTATATTTTTTGGAAATAACTTACCAAACACTAATGGTAACTAGATTTTCGTTTTTAAACATATACTTTAAGACGGCGCAGTAGGTAGTGCTGTCGCCTCACAGCAAGAAGGTCGCTGGTTCGAGCCTTGTCTGGGTCAGTTGGCGTTCTGTGTGGAGTGTGCATGTTCTCCCTGCGTTCGCGTGGGTTTCTCCGGGTGCTCCGGTTTCCCCCACAGTCCAAAGACATGCGGTACAGGTGAATTGGGTAGACTAAACTGTCTGTAGTGTTTGAATGTGAATGAGTGTGTATGGATGTTTCCTAAAGATGGGCTGCAGCTGGAAGGGCATCCACTGCGCAAAACATATGCTGAATAAGTTGCCGGTTCATTCCGCTGTGGCAACCCCAGATTAATAAAAAGACTAAGCCGACAAGAAAATGAATGAATGAACATATACTTTAGTCAAGACATTGATCGGTTTTAGTCAAATTTAGCTGAAATTATACAAAATTCTTTGTATTTTAAAAGATATTTCTACCTCATTCATGATTAAAGGAATTGAGTGTGTTACAACTACCCCCAGATTCCCCTTCTTTGCTTTTAGAAAGTTTATGAAAGTGCTTTTGACACTCAACCTTGGCGTCTTTCTCAGAGAATTTGCCAATCTCTTGCCGCGTATTTGTCAGGTCAGATCCGAGCAGTAAAGACCGCGGTGGTCGCCCTCCTACACCATCCTCCAGCATGGGGGTAAATGAATAGGGGTCCCTCATGTAAACCTTCAGGCCATGTTTCTGTACAAAAAGACACTCTGTGGAGAACTGCTGTCATCTTAGCTTGAAAGGGGGGAAAAGTCATCAATCATCTGTTTTCATGTTTCTGTTGTGAAAAGAGTCGGCTATTGTGATGAAAGATATATTTTTAAAAGCTGTATTTGCAAATTATATAAAAGAACACTCAAGTTAGAGATTTCACTTTCATGTGTTCATATGTGTTTAGACACATTTTAAAAAATGCACTTTGTAATAGTGTCAAATAAAAATTTTGCATTTTAACTATACTTCAAAGACAAAGTTATGAAATCACATAAAGATTTAGTCCTACCTACACTCACCGGCCACTTTATTGGGTACACCTGTAAAACAGCTCATTAGCACAAATTTCTAATTAGCAAATCACATGGCAGCAAATCAATGCATTAAGGGCATGTAGACATGGTCAAGACGATCTGCTGCAGTTTAAACTGAGCATCAGAATGGGGGAGAAAGGGGACTTGGGTGATTTTGAAAGTGGCATGGTTGATGGTGCTAGAAGGGCTGGTGTCAGTATTTCAGAAACTGAGAATGATCCGAAAAAGAGCAAATATCCAGAGAGTGGCAGTTCTGTAGGCGCAAATGCCTTGTTGATGCCAGAGGACAGAGGAAAATGATCAGACTGGTTCCAGCTGATAGAAAGGCAACAGTAACTCAAATAACCACTCAATACAACAAAGGTATGCAGAAGAGCATCTCTGAACGTACAACACCTTGAAACATGAGTCAGATGGGCTACAGCAGCAGAAGACCACACCGGGTGCCACTCCTGTCAGCTAAGAACAGGAAACTAAGGCTACAATTTGCACAGGTTCACCAAAAATAGAACAATAGTATATTGGAAAACCGTTGCCTGGTCTGATGAGTCTCGATTTCTACTGTTACATTAGGTGGTAGGGTCAGAATTTGGCATCAACAACATAAAAACATAGATCCATCCTGCCTTATATCAACGGTTCAGGCTGGTGGTGGTGGTGTAATGGTGTGGGGGATATTTTCTTGGCACACTTTGGGTCCATTAGTACCAATTGAGCATCGTGTCAACGCCACAGCCTACCCGAGTATTGTTGCTGACCATGTCCTTTCCTAAATGACCACAGTGTATCCATCTTCTGATGGCTATTTCCAGCAGGATGTAAAGCACGATGTCATAAAGTGCGAATCATCTCAGACTGGTTTCTTTAACATGACAATGAGTTCACTGTACTCAAATGGCCTCCACAGTCACCATAACTCCATCCAATAGAGCACCTTTGGGATGTGGTGGAATGGGAGATTCGCATCATGGATGTGCAGCCAACAAATCTGCAGCAACTGCGTGATGCTATCATGTCAATATGGACCAAAACCTCTGAGTTATATTCAAAGTACCTTGTTTAATCTAGGCCATGAAGAATTGAGGAAGTTCTGATGGCAAACGGAGGTCCAACCTGGTACTAGTAAGGTGTACCTAATAAAGTGGCCGGTGAGTGTATGTAAAGAGCAAACTTAAAGTTCAAATGTATATATTTATACTATATTACATTTTAGCTGTGTTAAAAGAACTGAATGAATGAAAAGGTTAAAAAAAAGAAAGGTTTGCAAAACTAGTATAAAAGATCTGTGCCACAAAGAACTTTTTATTGAAGTTCTTCATGAAAACATTTATTTCTTTGTGTGAACATTTTGAAAATCTAAAGAATGTTTTCCACTTTAAATGTTTTTCTAAGTTTTGTGGAATGGAAAGTTCCTTTGTATGTTAAACTACTGATGCAAATGAAGAGTCTTTATTTTTTAAGAGTGCAGTTGCTTGAAAGATATTTAAATAAACTCTGTACTGGAAGTAAAATGAGAATGTGGCTTGTAACATCAATATGAAAATCACCTTAAGCTCCAGGTCCTGGTAGATGTGTGGACGTAATAAACTAAGCAGATAGGAGGCCCTGGAGAAGTGAAACCCTGAAATAGACAGGCAATTCCCAAAGTCATGCAAACTAAACAGATAAACGGCAGAATGTAATATTTTTTAGGGTCAGCAACAACCTATTAGGCCTACTTATTAGCTCTGAACAAACTTCTAACAGAGTTTCTGCAGGTTAAATTTAGGATTTAAGAAATTTTTAAGACTATTCTGATCAAATTTCAGACTACATTATTTCTGTTGACTGTTTTCTAATTATTTTTACTTGCCCCATTTAAAAAAAATCTAATTTAGTTATTTCTTAAAAACATAATTCAAATAATGTGTCAAAACAAGCAAACTCTACACTACCTCACAAAAGTCTTGTCATTGATCCCATTTGTAAGAGCATAAATTAATAACTTGATTTCTAGGTGATCATTTGGAACAGTGGCAGAAAGTCAGATGAATTCAGATGAATCATCTGTTGAACTGCATTCAAGTCATCACAAATACTGTAGGAGACCTATTGGAACCCGCACTGACCCAAGACTCACAGATCTGCAAAATGGATGGCAACATCAACAGCCTGAGGTATCAACACATGTGTGCTGCCCATTACATTACAAACCACAGAAGAGGACAAATACTTCAGCAGTATAGTGCTCTTTCTCATACTTCAGCCTCCACATCAAAGTTCCTGAAAGCAAAAAGGTCAAGGTACTCCAGGATTGGCCAGCCCAGTCACCAGATATGAACATTATTAAGCATGTCTAGGGTAAGATGGAGGCATTGAAGATGAATTCAAAGGATCTTGATGAACTCTGGGAGTCCTGCAAGAACACTTTCTTTGCCATTCCAGATGACTTTATTAATAAGGGATTGGAGTCATTGCAGAGATGTATGGATGCAGTCCTCCAAGCTCATGGGAGTCATACACAATATTCATTCTTTCTCCACTGCAGCATGACTTTATATTCCATACTGTACATTATTTATGTTAAGTGACAAGACTTGTGTCTAAGCAAAGTCAGACCTTACTGTCCTAATGAGATAATTAAAAATCAAGACATAATCATATTTTATTTTGGTAAGATAAGTGTAATCTAGAGGCTTTCGCCTTTGATATAAGCCACTTCTGATACCAAATGATCAACTTGAAATCACTTGTTGTTCTTAAAACTTGGATAGGCAACAAGACTTTTGTCAGGTTGTGTAGTTTAATGAAAAAAACACAATTTTAGGTCCAGGTCAGTGTCCTCACCAGGTACTTATAAATACATGGAGAATATGTTGGTAAATAGTGTTAGTATTGGTAAATAGTAACTTTTGTTCTATTGAGTTGTATTGTTGGTGATTGTATAAGTCTTGGCCTGCTTGGGTAGCTTTACGTAGAGAAAAGAAAATTAAGACTTCTTTAAAATTATTCAAGACTTACAACCCATATTTTAGTGAATTTGAGACATTTTAAAACCTAAAATATAAGCTAGTTTTTGAAATTTAAGACATTTTAAGATCCTGCAGAGACCCTGAACAAAAGCCTTTATTTTTTTCTATTAGAAATTAATCTTTCGCAAGTCTGTAAGGGATTCATTTGACCTTGTTGTGGCTGATAAATCTAAACTCACACCTGGAATGATCTCTTCAGACACAGCTGCTCCCCCAAGCACATGTCTGCGCTCCAGCACTGCTGTTCTCAGGCCTCCCTTCTGCAGATATGCTGACTGCACAAACCACAAGAGAGTTTCTTGAAATGAAACTGTTGTGCAATTACAGGTCAGCTACATAATAAGAACACGTGTGGTGTGTACTTACAGCAATGAGGCCATTGTGACCTATGAAAGGAATGATAAAAGAGAATGAATGGAGCAACTCATTTTATGCTGTTCAAAATAGTCTGAAACCTATCCTTTGCTAGATGCTGTAAAGGAGCACATGATTGTATCGTTCAAATGATGCAGAGATTTGCAACACCATTTAATAAGTAAAAGAAATAGAATGCTCTGAATGTTTGAGCAATACATAATCTTTTTTCCTGCAGGAGGTGCACGGAGGCTCACTGTAGGCAAATACACTATCGAACAGCATTAGTCATTCGGATACTTTACCTGATATATTTGCAAATAGTCAGAGGTGTTTGAAAAATACTGTTTACAATGTTTAGTATCTAGCATATATCTTTACATTGTCAAGTTTTTTTAGTTTTTAAACAACAAAACAATCCTCTCTCGACGACTCTAGATCGACTGTGACTGGCTTTGCTTGGCAAGCGTTGAGAAAAGTAACAAGTGCCACGTGACATCTTGTTTATGCAATACTTCTTAACGGTCTTATTAATATTTTTAACTACCAGATGAGAATAAGAAATGTTGATTAGACATGGAGTAAAACACACAACAAAAAAATCGTTGAGAAAACAAAATAGTATTTTATCCATCAATCTAACATGACCAATCGGAGAAAACGTACTTGCAATAAGCCCCGCCCACTTAAGAACTTAACTTAGTGCATGCAACATTTGTATTTCTGTGTTTTAGGCCTTGCATGAAAGTGTATCTACCTACCTGCACCGATAATAACTGCGTCATACTGAGGTTTGAGGGCAGTGCTGCTGTGGCTGCATCGCTGTGTGACTGAAATAAAGGCTCTGTGCGCGCGACCTGCTCTGACTGACACAGCCATGACGAGTCCGGGTGGCCCTCAAACCCAGAGCTCAAACTCCGTAACTCCTCCCTCACCGCCACAATATAACGAAAACTCCAATAACAAGGTATTTTTACTCTCTCAGTAACACTCCGCCCTGTATGGAAAAAAGATACATCAGGGGTCTTCAAAGGGGTGCTTGGCACTCTCAAGGGACCACAAGTGAGAGCTGGGGGCATATAGAATCAATTAATAAGTGAAAATGACGGTAACAATCAGTTTAATTAAAATAAAGGTAAAATGATTACACTATGGTCAAATATTAGG